AGTCGCCGAGAGAAGCTATGCCTACGGCGCTGCGCCTGCGCCGGTGCGCGCTGCGGTGCGATCTTGCGCTATGGCCCTGTGCCTGCGCCGGTGCACACTGTGGTGCACCTGTGCTGGTGCACTACAGAGTGTAGAGAGAGAGTGGGAGAGTGCGGAACTGCGGACAGAGAGAGGAAGTGCGGCTGTGGGCTTGGATTTAGGGTTTAGGAATTGAGATTTGAGGGATTTTAGTGAACGGGTCGAGTATGGTTTCTAATGGGTACGGGTTAAAAATTATAGTGTTATTAGTGATGCGGTTGGTTCCGACGGTTCGGGTTGAAAAGTTTTCAACCCGATCTGAACCGACCTACAAACAAAACCGACCCAAACTGCTAATTTTCGATCGGTTCAGTCAGTTTTTTCGGTCTAGACCAAACAATGCACAACCTTACTTAGGGTCAACGAGAAATTACGGTCAGAGTTGGATTATCTTAAAAGGATGTTCATATGTACATGGGTGTTATTGTTATAGTTGTCCAGGCCCTCAACATATACCATCGCCACATCCCTTACTTGTTGCGCGCGGAAGCCAAAAGAACCGATATGCTTCGAGGAACTAAAACAAACGCCGAGAGAAGGCTAAACAAACCAAAGTAATGCCACAAACACAAACAACCAATTTTAACGTGGTTCGACAAGTTGCCTACGTCCACGGGGCAAGAATGGGATGGGGTTTTCACTAATAGAGAAGAAGAGTACAAACTGAGATTACAAATCACTCAAACCAACCAACTAGAAGAAGAGTACAAACTGAGATTACAAATCACTCAAACCAACCAACTAATCTCACCAACAAATCTCTAATTCTCTCCATGAGATTACAAATCACTCAAACCAACCAACTAATCTCACCAACAAATCTCTAATTCTCTCCAAATAAAACTCTAACCAATAGCTCAGAAAATACCACTTTTCTATGCTCCAAATATCCCCAATTCAAGCCTTACAAACCCTCAAAATCGTGTTCCTATTTATATCAGAACAGAAACCCACACATAATCCAAATAGGAACTCAAATTGTATAGAAAACCTGCTATAAGTCGACTTAACAGGGATTATAAGTCGACTTGGCAGAGCGAAAATCAACAACTAGAGAACAAAACATAATTCGACTTAACAGGCTTGATAAGTCGACTTGCCAAAGACCAAAACCAACAATTCTAAAATAGAACGTAAGTCGACTCGTGCACAGACATAAGTAGACTTACCATAAGTCGACTTATGTCTGTGCATGAGTCAACTTATGACACAAAATTTGCAAAATCTGAACTAAAATCTGAATTCTCCACAATTCTCCACCTCGGCAAAGTTTTTCCAAAACTGAGCCAATACTAACCAAACATCCCACTTGTTATGTCTAGTACGAAGTGAAATAAAAAACCATGATAACAGACTCAATCCACAACAAGTCGAGACCCAAATGAGAAATGTGAACACTCTCCAGACGTCGGTATCAACTCACCAAACTGGCTGCATCATAAATGACTGCCTACGTATCCTCTTGCCTAAGGAATCAAGCATTCACGTAGTTCACCAAATGGCCTCCAAAGGCCCTCAATCCAATAGAAGAGTTCTTAACTCTTCACCAAGAAATCTGCGGCGGATAGCTCTTCCAATGGCCCCAAAGTGAAACAAACTAAACACCTTCACCTGAGATGAACAAACGACCATATCCAAATTGAAACTATGTCCATCAGCTACACTCGAATCAACCAACTCATCATCTGCATCCAAATCTAAATGATCCCCAAACTGCGTCACCTTAGCTGGAATCTCAAACGATGTAGTATGATTTGGAGTATATGGAGTAATCTCCACCCAACGTGGAGTAGCATCACCCTCCACCCACTGTGATATCCTAACGATCTGATCAACACTCTCCACCCGCTGAGAGTCAAATGGGATATACCTGCTCAGAACAAAATCAGAGTCTCCTAACTGATAACCAAATGAGCCTCTGAATCCTAAATGTGCAATCAGATTAAATCTCACATCCTCGATGTGACCAAATGTTGGATAACTAAACATCCGACACAACCCAAAATCTGAAGCAGCTTCACCAGATCCAAAATCTTCACACTCAGTAGTCGGCAACCTATGACTAAGATGACCCAAATATATCGAAGCTCCAAAACTCCTCTGCAATCCAATGCTCGACAACCCACGTCGATCCTCCTCCAACAATAAATGATCCATCAAAACTGTCATCTCATCTCATCACCCCAATGTTTCCTCTCCAATGAAGTATCTCAAATTGTTATGAACTCGGTACAAATGCAAGAAAGAACCCCTACCAAAAATAGAACGACGGGTAACCTTTCTGCCAATACATTTCCTCCATCTGATGTTGACTTCTAGGACTTCACACCAACGGGACTTGGTTGTAACCCATCAATGCCTAGAACAGTCCCTAACTGCAGAAACTAAATACCTATTACCTCCCAATGATACCTCCTTGGAAGGCCCTCAATTGCCTAAATGAACACCACCTAAAAAACCCCTGGATCAATGGATAGAAGTATCAAACTCTACCTCAATCTTCTTGCTAATATCAATGTGCTCAAAGACTTCAATTTGTAGGTCAAAGCACTCCTCAACAAACCATGCACGGCATAACCAATCAAATATCACAGCCTTAACAAATGCCACAATCTAGCCAAATCCAAAGAAGTCGTCAGTTCTCTACCAATCATCGTGCTCCCAATCAAATGGTACAAATTCTTCCTCCTGACGTCCTTCGTCACAATCATGGACCCAAATGTAACCTTCAAACATGCATCCTCTAAGGTCACCATATAGCCTGCTACCTCCAAAACTCCAAGTGAAATGATATTCTTCTTCAACTGAGGAACGAACCTCATTTCATCCAACTCCCAAATCATCCTGTCACACATCCTAATATAAACGGTACTGATACCACTAATAGAGCATTCATGATCATTACCCATGAGCACGATATCCCCTCTTTTCAACTCCTAAAAGCTAGAGAACCAATCCCTCCTAGGACAAATGTGGTAAGAGGCACCCGAATCCAACATCCACTTTATAGAGTTGGCAACACAAACTGACGGTAGTGCTAATGAGTAGCCTGAAGAATCCGAATCTGAATTGTCGCCACTAGTCTCAACAAATGCAAGCGATTTTCTACACTCTTTGTTAAATACTTTCCCTCTAAAATCTCTCAAATATTCTTAGCCGAAGTCTTATTGATCACATCATATTTCAAATCTTGAGTTAAACAAGATCTAATCACACCACATGCCGTTCTATTCATCTTCTTCCAAACCTTCTCATCAACGTCGTCCGGTTTCCCGTCTAACTCCAAAGTATCCTCCAAATTTTGCGCATTGAGCGCATCCAAGACTTCACATCTCTAAAGATCAAAATTGTTTGTACCATTAAACTTCTACACATCTATCTTCATAGAGTGAATATTCAAATTTTTGACGGTCTTCACGCCGGAAATACCCTCCATAACTCCTTCTTTCTCAACCATCTTTCTCAAAGCACCAACAAAACAATATGGAACAAACGAAGAATAGATCCAAACTAAAAAAGAGAGATTTTTTACCTCCAACTGAAACCCTAATACAGGCCTCCGAAAGATCTCACCCCACACGACAGAAAACGAGATCCACAAATAGAAAAAATCCCACATTTATCACCAACTGAAGCCCTAGACGAACTTTCAAAGCGATCTACTCCTCCAATTAGCTCAAGCTTTGATACCAATTGTTGTGCGCAGAAGCTAAAACAACCGATGTGCTTCGAGGAACGAAAATAAACGCCGGGAGAAGGCCAAACAAACCGAAGTAATGCCATAAACACAAACAACCAATTTAACGTGATTCGGCAAGTTGCCTACATCCACGGGGTAAGAAGGGGATGGTGTTTTCACTAATAGAGAAGAAGAGTACAAATTGAGATTACAAATCACTCAAACCAACCAACTAATTTCACCAATAAATCTCTAATTCTCTCCAAATAAAACCTTAACCAATATCTCAGAAAATACATCTTTTCTGTGCTCCAAATATCCGCAATTCAATCCTTACAAACCCTCAAAATCGTGTTCCTATTTATATCAAAATAGAAACTTAAACAGAATCCAAATAGGAACTCAAACTGTGCAAAAAACCCGATATAAGTCAACTTAACAGGGGCTATAAGTCGACTTGGCAGAGCGAAAATCAACGACTGGAGAACAGAACATAAGTCGACTTAACATGCCTGATAAGTTGACTTACCAAAGACCAAAACCAATAATTTCATAACAGAACGTAAGTCGACTCGTGCACAGACATAAGTCGACTTACCATAAGTCGACTTATGCATGTGCATGAGTCAACTTATGAGCATAAGTCGACTTATGACA